GTTGGTGACATCGGTGCCCTCGGGAAGAGCCTCCCGTGGCACAGAACTGATGGACTGAGTTGCTGCCAAAGAGCATCTTTCCCCTGGTCCAATGTGACAAAATGTACCTTTGTCAGTAGTTCAGCTGGTCCAGTGCTCGAGGAATTGGGGCTGTTCCCAGGGGGACGTCACAAGCTCCCAGTTAACTCATGTGGGACGTGTTAATGTTCGGGGATCAGGAGTGGGAGCGTGGATTGCCGTGGAGTTCGTCACTCTGATCACAAACTGTGTGTGTGGGGGGTTCAGACAGGGTGATCCTTCCTAAAATTCCTGGGAGGGCTGGGACTCTCCCTGCCCGGGTTGGTGGCCCTGTGGCTCCGTCTAGTGGCCTGAGCCCGCCCTGGCACTGGGAACGCCGCAGCATTCCCTGCAATTCCACAGCGCCTCTCCCGGCCCCTGTGGCAAACAGGAGCGATTTCAAGTCCCCCCCGGCCCTTTTCTCCCAGGCTGGAGTCAGGAATTCGTTGCTCATCTCAGGGCTGGCAGGAGACACGCTTTTGTTTCGCGTCAAACTGATCCCACATCCTTTTCTGTCGCACCGTCCAGCACCAGGCACGGGGAGCTCATCCCACAGGGTGGCACAATGGGAGGGTGGCATCACCTGCACTCCTAAAAGGTCTGAAAATACCCAGTTTGACACAAATGAGCCAGCTTTACTGAGAGATTGTTTAGATTTAATATAAATATAAATATAAGGCAAATGCCATCCAGCACCACGGACTGCCCACTGACTTGGGGTGCTGCTGCTGTTCTTACAGAGTTTAAACCATTGACTGGGGTAAAAGTAAAATATTGGGAAGGTTTTCGGCTCCAGAAGTTGGAACTGAAGTGCTGCATCAGCTGCCTCTCAGGATACAGGACAGCCCTGCTTTAAATAATATGGATACATTGCTAACTTAGCTGATGCTTGTTTTACACAGAGAAACATTTAGTGAGTGATTTTACTACAAAAAAACCCCCACAATTTACCAGCCTTTCGTTTCCCAAAGGAGGTTTTTTAAGCCTCTGTACAAAATTCCAGCTGAGGGTGTTCTGCTGGAATTTGCTGCCCCTTAGTGAGCTCCAGATATTCAGAAATGACCTTTCTAAACCTGAGGACTCAGCAAAAAAGAAAGATCCACACAGTTAATACTGAGTTGAAGTGTAATTTGTTTTATTTCCATGGTGCTGACCAGACAAGGTTTAGGGAAGGAGCTGATTTAGAGTTTTCCCTCAGGTAACTCAGAGTTCTGCTGGGTGGTCTGGGTGCTCTGGTAAGCAAATGGATGCAGCTGAAGCCTTGCTAGAACCAGAAATAAGAGGCTCAGGGGCAATTCTTGAGGAATTTAAAATCCCACTTCCCTGGGTTTCCTGGATTAGGTCAGTTCCTGTCTGCTCAGTCCTAGGGAAGATGGAATGAGATGGTCTTGAAGGTCCCTCCCAACCCAAAGCACTCTGTGATTCTGTCAATGAGTTAAGAATAGGGAAATAAAGCACTTTTCCCCTGCATTGAAATGGCCAACCCTGTATGAAGGCAATTTTTCCAAAGCTCAAACCCACCTGCCTTTTACCAGGGTAAACTCCAGAGTGGAGCAGCTCCAGAGGGAACAGGAGCAGGGGCTGGAAAATCACCTGTGAGCCCTCAGTGTGTGAATATTGCACTTCTACCCAGGGTGTGTTTGGGTTGGAAAGGACCTTAAAGGTTGTTTAGTTCCAACTCCTGCCACGGGCAGGGACACCTTCCACTAGCCCAGGTTGCTCCAGCCTGGCCTTGGACGCTTCCAGGGATCCAGGAGCAGCCACAGCTTCTCTGGGCAAAACCTGTGCCAGGGCCCCCCAACCCTCCCAGGGAGGAATGAGATCCCTATCAAATCACAAGTACTTGGAATTCTGATTTACTACAGCTTTTAAACCACTTACTGCATGAAAAAAAAACCCAACCAACCAAAACTTAGGATCTGGAAACATTTTAGGCATTTTTAGTACAACATTTTAGGCAGATGCAATAAAATTTGGGCCCACCCCTGAGTTCAGTTCTTAGATTAGCTCATGGTCTGCAGGTTTTTCACCTCTTGCATGGCTGCTCATGCTAAAAACTTCCCTAACCATGGCTTTAAGCGGAAACAGGAGCTTAGTTAGGAATTTTACAGTTAGGAACTTTACAGCAATAATAAGGTCAGACTCAAATGCAAACCAAATTTGGAAAGGTTTGGGTTTGTTTGGTTTTTTTCAGAAAACCAGGGCTATTTTCCAGTGGGATTTGTTGCAGAGTTGCTGCAGGTGACAATTCATTTCCAACTGATCAGTGTGTACAAACCCTGAGCAGTGTCAGCACTTGGGGCACACCAACCCCAAACAGCTGCAGGTGATGGGTGTGTGTCTGGTCCTCTGTGACCCTCCTTTCTCCCTCACCAGGAGCACTCTCTGCTTTGTTTTCTGAAGCCTGCAGAGTCACAATTCCATTTTTGTTTTGGGGGGGGGGTTGGGAAAGCAATACAGACTGTGCTGCAGCATCAGCGTTCTTGTGGCAAATAATTTATTTCTGAACAGGTAACGTGGCAGGCTCCTGAAAAACAGAGGGGGGTGGGTTCTGAGGTGTAAAACCAATCGTAGGACAAGGCAGATGTTTCTCACAGAGCTCTCAGGATCTGCCCACAGAACAATCAAATCCCAAACCCGTGGCACAGCTGTC